TTTTTTTCTCATTCGCGCGCCGTTGCCGATACCGTGTTGCATATATGCCAAATGCAACAGCATTTTCCCTCTCTCTTGCATTATTTTCATTCTGTGAATTCGTTAGTTACTGTCGTCTCTGTTATCTTTTAATGTAGCCATACAATTTATTGGAGGCTTGCTGCTTATTTGCAACCACTTAAGTTTGAACAGAGAAAAAGCGAGAAGCAAAGCACAGGGAAAAAAACATCTTCGCCAAGTAAATAAATTTCTTTAAGTGGACATATTTGAACCACCTACACGTTTAACTACGAGAAAACCAGATTTCTCTAGCAATGTTTCGCCGAATACCAAAAGAATATACTCAATAAAATAAATGGGAATCTTGGTTTTTTTTCTGTCTTTGTGTCTCCATCGCCGTTTGCTTATTTCCATTGTGTACTTGGACCAAATAAACAGCAACCAATTTAAATGCCATCTGCGTGCGGAAAGAACACAACACAAGAAATCCCATTCGAATAAAATATGCGATTGATAGTCAGAAAATTTATGGATATTTTCATTCATTTGATTCGCGTTTGACCAACGCGGTCTTATGATTAATGGAAAAGTATCCAATTGATAGTTTCATTAACGACGATGTGTAAATTATTGTGCGGCCAAGAAAATTGTTTCCATTATCAACTGTTTGCATTTTAATGAGCAATGATTGGCAATGAAGCGCACTCCAAGCCTCAATAACAATAATAACTATTCAATTAAATTGCATTCGATGAAAACACTCACGTCACTGCGACAATATTCACGGCTCTGGCTCAATTCCCAGTGTATATGCGTGCGTTTTTTTTATTTCGGCATAAACACTCAAAGAGGATGAAACCATCTGTACGAAATTGAATTAATAAAAGCAAACACACAAAAAATGAGAGAAATTGCTTTATTAAAATGTACATTTTAAATTAGCATTGAACAAAGTTCTGTTCCATGTTCAATGTTGATATTGTCGCAGACAGTAATTGATTTTCATTTCCATTACACAATCGGCCAATATTCATCATATGATATGTTCCATGTGAGTAAATCACAAGTTCATCAATGAATTCGGTCATAAGAAATTTCCATTGATTCATGGCACTGCTTCCATTGTCTGCGATATTAAATATTGATTATGATACTACGCTTTATCTTCGATATAATGCACTCCGTAAGAACTGGATGGGTTTACATAATTAAACAGATCTTCAGAGAAAATCGTGTGTGTGCGCGCGCGCCTTCCTTCGAAATGAACAGAAAAAAAGTTGGAAGGCCGTTTGTATGATTTGTCGTTGAGCACTCTAGCCGAAGGCATATTAAAGAGCCATTCAAATGTCTACTACATCACAATCCTGAGTAAGCAGTACACACATACCATCGGCCAAAAAGACCCCATCAATAACAAATTTGATCCAATTTCTTTTCGATGGAATATTGAGTTTGGTTGGAAATGTCATGCGAAAATTGAATGCATCCAAATCATATCACATTTTTTCTTATTCTTCTTTCGTTTTTGAATGACACTTTCGGTTTACTTATTGACACGTTGGCATAAGTAAGCACATATGTGTGCATATTGCACACGCACAAAATACAATATTCCATGCAATATATGTAGTTCATTGAACAGTACATCACCCAAAAGAAATCATCGAGAGATAGAGTGAAAAAAAACAAAGTTTGGTTCTGGTATCTTCGTCGGTTGTTGTCCTCCTTCTTTTTTCGTTCCAGATAAATTGAAAGAGTTGCAAAATATCATATCACATCAAAAGGGCAAAAATAATCAAGAAACAGTCCGGCGAAAAATGTTGACGAATGAGAAAAGCAGAAGAAAAAAAAATTAATGGAAATGAATTTGAGTCGAGTTTTATGTTCATACTGACCGATTTCAACGGTGGAATATGTATATATGTTTCAAAGATGCTGGCTCAAAGCGAATGAACGTGAGCTGTCCAGAGTATCATATAATTTTCATATATAAGTCAACATCAGAAAGAAAAGGAGAAGCACACGCTTAAACCTCCACAGCAATACACACGAAATGACAAGGGTTTGACAAAATTGACGATTTGGGAATAAACAACCGTTCAGACATCGAGCATTCTACTCGATAAAATACAGATAGTGCAAGCGCGTCCGAATAATCCAAAAACTAAGCACATCATGTGTGTTCGTGTGTTCGTGTATTCGAAGCAAAAGTATAACGAAACGCAAAATGAGGAATCTAAATCGCCATCAATTCGGACTACTTTGGCACTTAATGCGTTTTACTTTGGTTTCAACAACAAAATCATATATTGCTTACAGCAGCTGTTTTCTTTTCGCTCTTCTCCTCACTTCTTACATTCTTCTTCTCACTTCGGTTTTCTCGCAACTTTTTTTCTTCTCCTCTTTCTATCATACGGTCATTCACGCACATTCACACACATGCGCATTTATCCGTCACACACAACGGAATTACTCACATCGAGTAAGTTATGAACGGTATTATCATGATTCGGTACATTTACTTGGCATCGCTCGTATACGGGCTACAGATCTCGCATTCAGATTGGTCAAGTTTACAAATTCGTTTATGCCTTCGTTTATACCTGATCAATTTTAATGTCGTTCCCTCTGGTGAGTTCAGCACTTTTTTTCGTGCTATCGCTCCCGCTATCGCTATTTTTGGCAAGAAGGCAGTAGTATTCTTTTAAAATGACTGCATCTTCTGGCTGTATTTTTATTTCACTTTTGCACGTAATGTTCTGGCTATGCATTGGCGCTAGGCCTCATATTCTCACTCTCTTCCCTCTATCTCACTTCATGCCTCTCCATCTATCGCTGAATTGCTTGGTGAATTGTAACAATCTCGTAATGTAACTAAAAGCAAGCAATCAATTTCTTTTGTTGGGAGCCGGTTGCCGGGCCTGAACTGGCACATTTTTTTTTGCCACCACTGCTACTGCTGCTCTGTGGTGCGATGCGGTTCAAATATGTCGGTCGGTATATGCTTGTATTTTGTGAGCGTTTGTGCGGTGGTTGTGTTTGAAATTAATTCAAATTTCAGTATCAAGTAAATGTGAATCCACCGAAAACCGCTGTCCGATGTTAGTGGCGATTATGAAAACGGTACAACAATGCCAATGGAGTAGGATATAGCGTGCACATCATATGAGGCTATCAACGCGCGCGCGGCCACCAGCACATAACTGTATTATGTTGAGAATACGTGTATGCGATATCGCCCTCCAATATGAACCGGCCAACCAACCGACCGACTATAAATATGCAGAATAAACGAATGGAGATTTTCAATGGCCATGAATAAGCTGTTAATGAACACAGCTCTATGCGTGTCTGATAAATGCCGGAAATATCATTTTCGTTATAGATGTGTATGGCATGGCTTGGCCTGGCCGGGCCGTATAGACATAAATGCGTAAAAAGTAAATAAATTACGAATGAATCATGTGCTAGCAAGCAGATATTTAACGTGACACCTACCACTCCAAGAGAACATTTTAAGCCTCGTTCTCTCGTGTTTGACTCTTACTCTTGACAGAGAGCAAACCAAATTGCTGCTGACGATGACAACGAACAAAATCTCGGAATGGGAATGCAGAGTGTTGAGAAGAGCAACAGTGGAAAACAAGACCGCAGAGCTTCGCTTCGCTCCGCTCTGCGTTCTTCAGATTTCAGTTATTTATTCTACTTTGTTGCTTCACAACAAACTACTTTTTTTGCGCACTACATGAAATGTATTTCATCTAAGTAATTTTGCAGTAATATATCATTAAAAGGCGTCCCTTTTAATAATATTATGGATTAAAAACATAATACGAAGGATATATATTTGCAACAAAGTTGATACAGAAAAAAGATTTTCTCAGTTATCTCAAAAATGAATTGCAAGATCTTGGTTTGATTTCTTTTTTGAAAGATACTACCACTGTTTTAAATTAAATAAATAATATGACCATAGAATCTAAATTAACTTTCATTATGCTCAAGACTCGGAGAATACTATACAAAAGAAGGAAAAAGTAATGTAAATTTTAAACAACATTTGATAATAAAAATTTGATTAGCGTTTCGAGATGCTATGCACTTGTTTGTCATTACTGCCACTAGTTTGAATTGAATACAAAATATGAGCATAAAATTGAAAACCACTCTAATTCTGTTCATGGCTCGAAAAAGTATTAGAAAAAAAAATGCAGATTAGTAGCTCTACATTTCATGTAGTGCTAAAAAGCGTAGAGACAGGATAGAATGTCGATGCATGCATTTTTTTTTGCTTTTCACCATTTACGTGACCTTTTATTTATTTTTTATTTTTTTCAAGTTGTGACTTAGTAGCCTCATTGCGAAGCACATTATGACTGGCTACAACTTGCTAGAAATTCAAGTCAGGCAGTTGCTTGGATTGGAGCTGAGCTCTGATTGATTCTCATATGGAAAAACGAAATATGATGAAGGGAAAAATGTGGGTCGGTCATTTTGACTGCTATCTTATTAGACATTATTTGGATTTATGATACTTTCCACGCTGTATCTCGAGCTTATTTTCTAATGCTGTTTAAATAAAAATGAATTCGAAGGAGTGTTAAGGAGGGAACTTTGGAAAAAAAAAGAAATCGATAAAATGAAAATAAAGTGTTCAGCTAAAAGATATGGAGTGTCCAGAAGTAAAAATTTCAATCATTCATACACGTTTTTTTTTCATTCGCTCTTTGCTCCCACAAGGGATCTGCATATGATTAATGACATCCGTTGAAAATAAGTATGTAACCGAAATGACGCTATGTCACCCCGACAGAAAAAAAAGAGGAACGTCTACTAAATCACTTCAAAATCTACTTGGCATTCATGAATCCAAAATTTATTAAACATTTTTTTGCCTCTCTCTCAATTTCTCTCTGGCCCACTCTGATTAAGATAAGAAGCGCTTGCCGTTTTCTCGTGTCTACGTAAAATAACATGCTCATCGAGTCATGGAGTTTTTTTTTTATTATTATAACTTGTCACATGATTGAATATTACAACATGATTTCTCATCCCTTTTCTCTGGACTTAGATTTTGGAAATGATTTCATCGAAATTATTACGGATATACACTTCAACTCCTTTCGTATTTGCAAATGTGGTGCCATAACGTACGGCCAATTGATCAATGTCCCATTTATCCACTTTGCCGATGGGCTCACGGAATTTCTCCAAAATAGCATATGTTCCAGTGGTTTTGTACAAATTGGTTTCCAATCTGAAAGTGACAGTTATAAGTTAGGTCAGATGTATAGGAAAAGGGTAAAGTGTGTGTGCGCTTGCTCGCGTGCGCGTGTTTACTGTATTTTACCGTTCACTATTTTGGTATACATGCAAAAGGCATTCAATTGCTGCGGTAAAATCTTCTTCGTCTTTTAGTTCACGACGCAAAACACATTCCGTATCTTGAATGAAATCGTTGAGTTCGTCGTATATGTCTTTGTAAATTTCCGCCAACAGTTCGGCCAAACGACGCTTCCATTTTCGTGCATGCTCCAAAAATTGCTCATACACTTCATTCAATCCAATCGCAATGCAATTGATTTGAATGACTTTCTCAGCACTTTCCAATACGTCCAAAATTTGTTGGTATTTACAGAATTCGTCTTCGATGGTCGACGGATATGGGTCGGTGTCAACGAATGTTTGCAATTGTTCTTCCAGATCATCTGGCCAAAGATGGCAGTTTTTCGCATAAATGTCTTTGAGCAATCTATCAACCTGCGGCTGCAACAGCGACAATCCACTGTCAAACTTTGCACGTGAACGCTGAATTTCCTTATTACCCAGGACATTATTCAAAAAGCCCTCCTTCAAATTGTTTTCATCTGTTGCCATTCGCCAATTGAACAAAGGAGATGCAATCAGTTTGAAAAGTTAGTTCATTTTAAACTAAATTACTTACCAAGATTGTATTTGGTGCTTCCTGCCACAGCAGCCAATGCACCCCATGAATCGACACCGCGAAAAATGTCAGTTACGTTGTGGATTAACTATATTTGGAGAAAGAAAGGGAGAGAAAGTTTTTTGGGCATAATTATCTTTAGGCATGTATTTCTGAACAGAACTATTAGACTAACGTGTAAGAACGATTCGCTCAATGATTCAAGTGGCGGCGATAAATAGCAACATGTTGCAGACTCAAGTTTTGCCACTGCCAAAACGGTTGGCACTCTAAACGAATGAATGACAAATGCATTTGATTGAATTAAATTCAACAAATAAATCTCACTTACTCTCTGAGAAAGAAATGTTCTGTGACCGCATCGTATGCCTTTCTTGTGCCTTTGATCATGCCATCGAGAATGAGATGAGCGAAATAGTTGAATAAATCCATACAATCACTGTGAAGTTGCTCAATACCATACTGCAGCTCATCATAGTCTTTGAATACTACATTTTCATGGAAATGAAAGTCAGTGAAAATAAAAAGAATCGATGTTCACTAAATTATTCAAGAGGTTACACATTACATGGTTCAATGTGATCTCCATCGTTGTAAACAAACACATGTTGGAAAATCTTTTCAAAGGCCATAAAATCATACTTATCCTCTGCAGTTGAAATATTAGTGTGCTCAATGAATAAATGTATCAATTCAACGGTTGCTTTTTGTGCCATTATCGACTTTGTCTCGAGCTTTTGAGCTGTAAATGCATTCGAAAGTATAGTGTCGTGTGTGTGCAATTTGGTTTTGGTTTAATTTACCGGTTTCCGTCTTGTGTTTCTCATTTTCATCAATTAGAACTTTCATTTCGGTTGGTTCGTCAAATAGAATAATTAATTTCAACTCGCTCATTGTTAATATTATATCTTCGATGTGGAACACCTTTCGATCCGAAGCACGTTTCACCAAAATACAAACTTCATCCAATATCTTGCATAAATATTGACGAGAAATTTTAATGATGAATTAGGTAAAAGCTAAAAAAATGCATGCAACATGGCTAAAATAATGGACCTTCGCTGCGTTTTCAACATAACCATCAAAATCTTTCGATAGCCATTGGATTTGGGACAAACCAGCTTTGAGCGCCTTATCAATTCGTTGGAGTTGTGGACGGAATATATTCACAAAAACAATTGGTATCGATAGGCGCATGTCATCGTTTCTCCTGATCAAGTGTCTCATTGTTCTCAATTTGCGTTTTATATCGTCTTCGTAGGTGACAAGTGCTTCCCCGAGATGAGGCATATCTAATTAAAATTTGTAGTATTATTTGATTGGTTTTTTACTGACAAAACTTTGGTGATTTTTTGTACTTTTTTTCCCCTTCAAAGTAGAATATTCGCTAACCGAATTTTGTTATTTTCGGATATATTTGGATATTTTTTGTTCTTCATTTTTAAGAAAATTCTCTATCCAAATAAGCTTATTTTATCGCCAATTTTAATGTAGCCAAATGTAGCACGAGGTGGCATATAGTGAGGTGATTGGTGTGTTGGGACCGATGCTAGGGGCATTTCTCACGCAAAAAATTGAAACGAATGTGCAAGAATTTAAGATATTTCTTCTTTCCTATTGAAATGGTATAAAAATGTATGAAATTGTCTGGAATTGTCAAATTTAATGTGAACCAAATTACTACATTCCAGTCAATTCTAAAACATTTTGGTGAATTCACTGCAATTTCATAAATTCGGTTCTGTTAGCAAGTACAAATCTTAAGTACGTACCTAAGCTTAAGTATAAAGATTGTCATCCTTAAGTACGTACTTAACATACTTAACGTACTTACGTATCAAGCTTAAGTACGTACTTAAGGTTAAGTATGCTAAGTATTACGTACTTAAGCTTCATACTGCGAACGTATTTCACACATTCAGTGTAAATGTGTATCCATTTACCCGAATTGATAGAAATGGAAGAAATTGTTCAATATTTATTGGAATGGTTCCATTTTTTAAGTGAGAAATGCCCCTAGGACCGATGGACAGAGTCCATCGGTCCGATATAACAAGGGTGAGGTGCTTGTCTTTGATTGAATGTTGTTTATTCAAGTACGATCGATGAATGAATAATGATGAGTGGCCGATCGCCTACCAAAATGAATATCTTTCCGATTTTTCTTTCTAACTGATTGAATTATTTCTATAACCAAAATAGTTTTTTTTTGTACGTTTTAAATAAACATTTGAATTCTAGATTTGACCTGTATGATTTTATGAAAAAATTGAAGACATCCAACTGGGGCATGCACGCATTGAGTTTCATATACATATACATATCTACACTGTAAGTTTTCGGAGGGGAATGAGTAATCTAAATGCAGTGCGAAATAGCGGTTTCAACTGTTTTTGGATGAATTTACACTAATTTTGGGGGAAAATGTGCTATTGCTTATGCGAATGCTCAAGTGGCTACTATTCATATACGTGTCAATACATAGACACGCACTGGTCACCAAGCCTGTGCAGTTGCATGTATTGTAAATTTTGTACACAGCAACTCGTTCAATACATACAACGGCACAGACTTGGTGACCAGTGCGTGTCTATGTATTGACACGTATATGAATAGTAGCCACTTGAGCGTTCGCATAAGCAATAACACATTTTCCCCTAAAATTAGTGTAAATTCATCCAAAAACAGTTGAAACCGCTATTTCGCACTGTATCTAGATTACTCATTCCCCTCTGAAATTTTGGTGTGTATGTATCTATATTCGCTTTGTTCATTTCAATTCTGCATATTTGTTGTGTTATTCCGATTAATCAGAGATTTTCAAGTGCACAATCGTTTTGAAACTTGTAAACATCCAAGAAAATTGCTATCGAAATGGTTATCTTTCTTTTTGAATCAAGCCCGTTTTTTATTTAAAAAATCGCGAATAGCTTGCCACTAAAAAAAAATTAAATAACTAATTGCAACAATATTGGTTAATTCTGCACGGGTAAATGACCAATTGCATTAATGTATAATTAACTAATAAGTGTGCACCGAAAAAAATTGCACAAATTTTGTTATGCACCAATTTAAGATGAACTTCACAGACAGCACTATTGGATAACCCTTGTCCAATTTTCAGCCAATATATCAATCCATCCATATTTTCGGACAACTTCATTCATATTGTCTTAGTTTTTGGCCAACCCTACTACTATTATACATACTATTGTACATTTGGCATTTGGAGGTAAATTAGTATGAAGTTGGCCACAAAATGAGACAATACACACACGGAAGAAAGGTTTAAATATTCGCTACGCCCAATTTTTTTTTTCTTGAAAAAAACCAAAATTTGAGATTTCTCAGACAAAATTTATTTTTCGAACCTCCATAATGTATGTAAAATGGAGGCGCCGAAATAAATTTTGTCTGAGAAATCTCAAATTTTGGTTTTTTTCAAGGAAAAAAAATTGGGCGTAGCGAATATTTAAACCTTTCTTCCGTGTGTGTATGAGTGAAATTGTCCGAAAATATGGATGGATTGTCATATTGTCCGAAAAAGAGACACCTATTGGAAATTTTTTGTATCTGTGTTGGTTTTCAGAATGCACTCAAAAATGTTGGAATGACCATATACAGTTGATGACATTGAGAGTTGAGTAATATAGTTGAATATATCTTTAACCGAATTTGAAATAAAGAAATGGAACATACCTAAGTGAAGTCTAGCCATTTTTTTGCCTTCTTCAATGGTGTTCAGAATCGCAATGTCAAAATTGACTTCCAACCGATTGGTGTTAGCATTTCTGCGTATCACTGGCTGACTGAGCAAATCGAATACGTAGTGAACAGTATCAAACCATGCTTTGTATTGTTGGAATTCATACAACGTCAAGTCTTTTGATAATGAATTGTAGAATTTGATGGTGCGTTGAATAATCAGCTTTTTTTCATCGGTGAAGAATTCTCTGGTTCGCACTAGTTCAACGACTTCATTCATTTTCATTTCGATCGATCGCGTCCAAGCGATTCGTCCGCTGTACATACACATCAAATTTGGTATAACGGGCGACACTTTTTTCAAATTGAATCTGATAAATGATGGAATGTTAATGCTTACTACACTTGAGAATAAATACGTGAAAGCACAACTGAACTCACGAGTCTTTCAAAGTGTTTATGTTATTAATGAATGCAGTAGTAATATCAATGTATCGATCTTCGACCGTTAGACATTCAAAATTTAAGCTTTCGAATCGTCTCAAATGATTTAGAGCAATTAAAGGTTTTGTTGGGAATTGACTGATGTGGTTCATCACAAACTGGTGCATCTCTTTCTCTATGCGCTTCATTGTGCTCTTCCATTTTTCGAAGTCAACATCGAATTGGTCATTTCTGAATGGAAAATAATGCAAATTGTTGCTTGATTGAATAGAACGAACCAATGATAATATATTGAAAAGTCTAATCACTTACCTGATGTCCAAATGATCGTAAAGTTTCTTTGTAATTTCATCGTGCGCTTTGTTTATTGGTTCGGAAAAATCTTGAATATTTTCCATCAAAAGGCCATCCAAAACGGAGTATTTCATATCGGTTTCAATGATTTCTTGCAACTAAAAAATTCAATAAAATGAACAAAAGATGCCATACAAAATGAAAAAGTGTACCTTCAATAATCTGGCGGTCAATTGATTTGATTGCCCAAATGCGTACTTTTCGGCGAAATCCCACACTGGCTCATCGGTTGATCGCATTGCGGTCATGGTCTCTTCAAATGTTTTTTGATAAACTCGCAGCAGTTCAAGGCAAATGAAAATTTTCTGCAACAATTCGGGTGACGGTTGTAGAAACAAATTGATTGAATCACCGTCAGCAATGAATCTGCGACAGCAAAGTGTTAAATGGTTTGTGCATTTGGTCAAAAAGCTTGCCATTGCATTCGGTGTGTTGTAAAAGGTCGATGTTTTGTAAACCGATCGTAATGCCACGAACAATGGTTCGACATGAGCTTTGATATTTTCAATCTTTCCGTAGAGTGGAAACTGGAAACGTTCCAATGAGTTCAAGAACTGTACATTTTCTGACGCTTCAAAATTTGCTACTTCCAATTTGTGTTCAATCATTTTCCATTTCTGCAAAATCGCGTCGCAAAACGTAAAGCAATCGTATATAGTCGATTTATCATTATTATTGACAGCAACAAATGAGCATAAAATTTCTATGTGCAGAAGTATCACTTAAATAATTACTCACATTGACAAGTTTCGATCCAGATAATTTCAGGCATTTCATGTGATTTTCAAATGATTCCTTCGACATAAGCTCTTGTGCAATTGAATACATCGAATGCGTTTGCAGCCAATGTTCCAGCTCATCAATTGGTCCAGTGTCCCATGCATTACGGCGAATCACTTTGCCCTTAATCAGAATCTTTTCAATAATTCGCATCCATTCCATTGAAACTCGTTCCACAACGTTAACTAAATGACGATTTTCAGAGGTTGCTTGGATTTTCTTTGGATCAGACAGATTTTCATCATAAAATTGACTATCAATTTCCAGTGCAACTGCTTTTTTCGTTATGGTATCGCAATCTGGAAGAGGGATTTTCGATTAATTTCAATGTATTAATAATCCATATTTCAATCAAAATGTTGCAACTCAAAGACAAGTTTCGATTGAACACATTCAAACTCACTTTCCAAAAATAGTTCGCATGCTTTAACAACCATAACCGTGTCCGTATTTTCGGATTGTCCAAATTGAACGAATGCAGGCAGCCATATTTCACGGAATATGCGCGCCAGTATAAATGGCATTGACAAATTTTCATTTGGTTTTATGTCGGAAATGTTGACAATCTATGAAAAAAAAACGTTCAAAATGAATGCAAATTAAATTAAAAAAAATTATTGAACTAGTTTTTTTTTTTACATTGGCCATGTTTTTGACGGTGACTTCACTGGAATTATCAGCCCGATACACGATCATACATTGATCGGTTTGGAAGAGTTCTTTTTCGTGCATGACATTGATTCGATTCATTTCGTCTAATTTCGGTGCGTAGCTAATGACCAGTGTTTCCGAACCGTGTTGACGGAAAAACTTATGCACGCTTTCTGTCCGGTTCTCCGTATCAGCAATGCTTTCGACCAGTTCTTCGGTGGTAATTCCAAATATTTGTGCGACTGTTTCGAGGATCGTTAGCATGGTTCGATCAATTGATTCACGTCGCATGTCCTTTTGATGTTTGATTTCAGCCAATCGTTTTGCTTCAGCCTCGGCAGCTGCTGCCGCAGCAGCTTCCACCGTATCAAATCCAGCAAAATCGTACAATTCATCTGGAATACCAAACGCTTCGGCCAAACTCTTGTAATGGTCCGCAATATCCAGCGATTCGCAAAGCATTTTTCAACAATCAATCAAATTTGATGAACAAAAAAAAAATCCTTCAATTCCGAACTAGTTTTCGTCGGTTTTCGACTATGCAAATAAATCAAAGCCCACTAATTCAAATTGAAATCATTTTATTTAAATTGAACGATTTTGAGGTGGAAAAATGCAATCAATTAGACCAATCGATGATATACTATATATAGAGTAATAAGCAGAATGTTGACATAGACAAAAGCAGCCACACACATTTTTTCTGTGTTTGCGCGCTGCTAACTTAGTAAACTGGTCTAATACTCGAATATACATTCGTGCAAATGGATTCGTATCCATGGCGATGAAACTACGCTTTAAAGATAATAAACTGAGAGTTATTTAATTTCATTTTTTTTCGTTGTTGTCGGTGGATGTGTGTGTGTGTGTGTGTGTGTGTGTATGAGCGAGTGTGTGTATATATTGCATCAGGTTTGGTTTGGTTGGGTTCGCTGCGATTTTTTTTGTGCTGGCGTTTTCATTTCATAAATTTTTGCTTTGTTTTATGTTGATGGATTTTCTGGTTGCTGGCGCTATGCATGTACTTTCACTATAAATTCATCCATCTGGAACAAGCCATAAAAAGTGTGTGCAATAATTTTTCAAAGTCTCTCTTTCTCTCCCTCTGTCTCTTGCGCTCTGGATACAATTTTTTTATATTTCATTTTGTTTGCGCGATATACGCTCTATGTGTGGATATATATATTCGGTTTGGTCGTGTTGTTGTTGTTGTTTTTTTTTTTGCTCATGCATCGTCTATTATTTTTCATTCAAGCAGCCCAAACACATTCAGTTAAGCGATTTTATTCGTTGTGTGAATAATAAAAGTTTCTTGTCATCGTCGACAGGGCGTTCGACTGGGTTCACACTTCATGCGCTATCGTTTTCTGTACGTGTTGTCCGCACCGACCGGCAAAGTTCATCATCTCACTGCTTTACAGTTATACATTATTTGCCATGCACAACAGCAACAGCAACAATCATCAGCGACACATCGATTTGCCCACCCCGTCGGTGGCCCGATTGCCGCGCATACAACGTCAGTATGTTTGTGTGTGTGTGTGTGTGTGTGTGTGTGTGTGTGTGTGTGTGTGAGCCGGAATATTATATATATATATTCATATTGAATGGGATGGGGGAGCGCGGATGAGGTTGTTCGCCGCTGGTTTCTCTGAAATGGCAATGAACGTTTGCACTTAACAATAAAATTCATTGTTCCATAACATGAGAAGCGTCAATGTTGACATCAAATATTTTAACAACATGCCAACAACTGAACGGTGCGCTGTGATTTCTTTGCGCGTCTTGTCGCCCCTGCAAAAATTCCATGCATTTTGGATTTCTATTAAATGATTATTCATGCACACTGGACACAGCACTGCGTCTCATCATCATCTCGTCACGATGAAAAGTTAATACAAACCGCCCTACCATTCGCTCACTCAAAGAAACTGATCGGTGATGCCTTCAAGGTTTCTACCTAAAATAGGAAATTAGGCGAGGCTTTTAAATGATATGAAGTTGGTGGTCTAATTGCTTTTGAATATTTCAACTTTGAATGCGTCATTCCCGGTGGATGCAAATAACTTTTGTCGCAATGAATGCCAATGTAATTTTCCATCACACAGATTTTAATAAATGAAACTCGCCTAAACATCATGAATTCGTCGTCCGTCACGTTCTTTCAATCATTTGAATGTGTCCTCCTTCCTCGTGTGCACAACTGAAAGCAACAAAAAAAAAACTCCCGATTTTTATTTTTCAACTGCTTACTCATCCAGATGGCAGTCGATTTGCTTGCCATGTTTCACCGCGAAACCGTATTTCATGACGCAAACGTTGAGAGACGTGTGCATCTATATAAAACCTAGATCAAAAGATAAACTTTTTAATGAACATGCCTTGACGATGAACAGAGAGTTAGAACTCTGGCAAATAGTTTTTTTTTGCTCTCATTTGACATGACTCGAAACTGCAGAATAAAATTTTGTGTGTATGTGTATCTATTTTGAAGAGGGTGCCGCATTTATATACATATCCAATCCGGTCTCAATCATTTCCGAGAATTTTCATGCTAATTATAATTATAGCCAAAATATATATGCATATACAATGCACAGGCACACACACACACACACTTTATCATCGAAAGATGATACTCACGCTAATTAAAACTTGCAAGCAATTTACTCAGGCTGTGTGCTCTGGTTCTGTGGCGTTTCATCATCATCTCCATCAAAAAAACCGCTGAAGCTAATAAATTGTATCCAAATTAATAAAACATCAAGTTTTTCAATGAAAATTTGCTTTTTTCCTCTCTCGCTTTGTCTTTCGTTTTTTTTTTTTTTTCCTCAAAAGTCGACGCTTCGCAGGGTGGAATTTTTTTTCCCTTGCGGTTTCAAACCTCATTTGATTTAATGCTGCTACTTTGAGAAACCAATGCGTTTAACCTTTCATAGAACACAGCAATCTGCTGCACATAATGTTAACAGCTCTGCGGCTTAAATGGTTGATTGCAATTCAGACTTTCAATGTGTAACAAAAGTGAACAAATACTAGTTAAAACCCACACACACTCACTCGCCCACTCGCACAAGCGATAAAAAAATGCCCTGCATCAAAGAGATAGAGGTTGTGAAAAAAGTGAAAGAAAACTCCGAAAAAAGTTCAAAATCAAATAGCAGCACTTTTTTGCTCAATTGAAATTATGTGCACATTATTCATTATTAAGTGTTTCAATGTTGTGCGCTCTCTCTCTCTCTCTCTCTTTTATTTGAGTTTGGCAAACTGGATTCGCAATATGGAGCTTTAAAAAGCCGAAACGAATGGGGAAAAAAAACTGTTAACCAATAAATGGTTGTTTGCAGAGCAGCAACAGCAGCAGCGGTCAATTCAAAGGAGATATTTTTCGAGTTTTTGATGACATTTTTAATATTAATTTTGTTCAGATTAAAGTTTCAAAACCGTATATTGACAGAGCATGACATATTGATAGGTATGAAATCATATTTTTTTGTCCTATCCAAGGACTCGCTTTCAAACCAATTTACGGGGGGAGTAATTTTCCATATTTTTTTCCTCTTCGTCCTCTTTCACTTCTTTGATTTGATCACGAATTCTGAGTCCGTTGTCGAATTGTCACACTGCAGAAGTCGTCATCATAATCATCGTTAAGACTCAACAGTCGAATCAAAGACACGCACAGTACCAAATATATTTATAAAATGATGGCCTAAATAGGAAACAAAAAAATTAATGGTTGAGCATCATCACCATCAACAACACCAACCAACCGACGACCAAAACGACATACAGAGACAGAGACAAAAAATAGAAGAAACAAAACACATTCATTTCGCTGCCCCTCTGCACTTAGCTTCATTTGAATTATTTATTAAATTCTTTTGTAGCTCCGGCACACTCCGTGTGCACTTCGCACAATGATGGGCGCAAACACTTGCTTGTTGAATGCCATGAATTGCGAAATAATTTGGAATAAGTAGACTGGTATAAAGAAACAATTACTTAAGGGAGAGATAGAAAGCGTGAGTGGAAGAAAACGAAGCGAAGGCTTTAAAACTGTTTTTCGATTTTTGCTAACGGACATTTTCTGTGTTGTTCGCTTTGTTTGCTCACTATATTCCTCATCTTTCTTTCTTTTTTCTGCGCGCGCTCTTTCATTCCGTCTTTTCTCATTCGCATCGGTCTCATTCTCGTGCCAACAATTTTCAGTTTGACTTTGTACCATTTTTTATGTCTACTTGATTTCTGTATATTTTAAGTGATTGCACTTCTGCTTCCCCATTTTTTTTTTGTCGTTGCGTCGGTCAATTTGAAATATAGAAAAAAAACATTTTTGTTACTACTTTTGTGCTCTTTTGTCATGGACATTATGTGATAAGGCGAAATAAAAGGCATTTCAGGAAAACGAAGAAGGAAAAACGA